TCCCGTCAAGAGCTGCAGTCTCAGAAACCCACAAGGATAGTGCTAACCTGGCCCCAGAGGGTCCCTATGAGTAGACATCAGATCAACAGCAGTGAGAATGTACTGTGCGAAAGTAAAACTTTCCCTCTTGTATCTGCCTTACTCCCTGGAAATCGTTTCCTTTTGCTTCCAGTAATATAGCGCCTGTGTGTTTGGGGGAGGAGAAGCGTTAGGGTTTGGAGAGAGAGCAGCTGTAAGGAGAGTAAACCAGTCGATGTAGCGTCTTCTCTAACCCGTGTGCTTCTGTGTGTCAGAGCAGAACTGTGGCCTAGAGCGTGCGGTGATCTTTCCATAGTAGATCACCAGGCCTTTCTTCTGAGGCACCTCTGGTGGCCTGCACCCTTTCAGCTAGCAGCCAGTGCATTCATCGTCTGAATCACCGAAGCACTCCACAGGTAGAACAGCATGCTGCTCCCCCCAGCCCCCAGCATGCAGCCTTCTCACTAGACAGCGATGCTGTGTGTCCCTACATGATATTGATACTGTTCTTCTCCCATCCCCACCCAGCCCTCTAAATTCCAGATTTGCTGTTTGTTTTTCATTACTTTTTGAAAAATAGTTGCAGTGCCAGCCTGCAGACCTGGGCACACTCTGCTTCACCTGCCTTATCATAGCGCGGTTTTTTTCCAAGGTGTCAGGTAGCCTCTTTTTAAAAATAATTGTTTAAGGCAATGGATGATTGTTGTTGTTGGAGTCTCTACTAGTAGAAAACCAAAATCAGCCTCCTCGCCATCAAGTCGATCCCGATTTCTAGCCACCGTATGAGACGGGGTGGAACTTGGCCCTGGGGGTGTCCAGGACTATAACTCTTTACAGTAGGAAGCCTTGCCTTCCCCCGTGAAGCAGCTGGTGATTTTGAAGGGCTGACCTGGTGATAGTAGCCCAGGGCCACCAGAACTTCCGTTTCAGCCATTGGACCAGTGCAGCTCAGCGACATGGTTGACACTCTTCAAGTTGTGCCGCCATCTTCACCCTCCTCCTCTGCGCTGCCGCTGCCTCATGAACATGAATGGACTGCCCGATGCGTATCCGATGCCCGAGTGGTTGTTGTCATGGAGTCCCATGTAGACAATGAGGACCACGCACCAGGCAGACACTCTTCATGTGGGGTCGGCTCATTGGGAGCCTGTGTGCAACACAACTACACACTGCTGCACCCTGCGCCAGCCTCACCGGAGCCCATTGAAGAGCATTCCACAGGATGTTTCCGGTGTAAGGGCTCAGGTTATCTCACGGCAGGAGTGTCAGGGATTCATTTGGCTGACCGGCTCCAGAAAATCTGCATTCTACAGAATTTGGAATTCTGTTCTGCATCCCCCACCCCCATTTCAGGTACTCTTGATTGGTCAATTTTTTAGCACCTCCTAATACTCCTTAATTCTGTATGGAATGTGTTGAAAGCCACTCACGTAAAACATTTTGCCCAGAAAAACGGCTCTTATCAAAGCCAGTGTTTCTCAAGCAATTGGATTCCCTCCCCACAAACGTTTTCCCAAGGATACCGTGATCGTGGCTGTAGGGAAGTGAAGATACCCATGGAGCACGACCCCATGAGAATCAGGCCCCTCGAGAGCCGTTCTCTGATCATGTCCTCCTAGTTGAATGAAACGCTACTTGTTCCCCAAACATGCCAGGGTTTGGGGATGAAATATATGGGAATTATTGGAGTACCACGCGATGCGAAAATCAACATGTGTGAGTGTTAAACTAACCTCCGAACAGTTTCTGCTGGAGGAATGTCACGGTTTTTATAAAATGTTTGCAGGAGCAAAATGGGCCCAGTTACGTGTTCTCATAGGAAAGAGGGAGGCTGGGGAGAGGTGGGCTGAGAGCAAGGCTGAATGGGAGCAGAGGCCCTCCAGCGGCCAGGTCTCTATGGGAACCACCAGACAGCATTAGTCACAGTGGCCAGACCCGGAGAGGTGCTCTCCACCCACAGTTCATCTCTGCAGTGGTGTTTCAGCCACTCTGCAGTCTCAGGCCCACAGGGCTCTGAAATCCCAGTTTACGTCTGCCAAAGCTGTGCTCTCTCACCAGTGTGCCCGACTGCCTCTCTGCGTGCAAAACACCACCCCCAGGGAGCCCTCTGCTGTGGATGAAGCAGGATGGTCGGTTATGTTTGCCATGGGTGGGTCATCCCTGGGAACATTTCACAATAAAAGAGGATTTGAAAATTCCGTTTTAAGCAGTGGGCTGCAAGATCCCTTTCCTCCCTGCTGCCCTGCAAGGCTATGTATGATAGAAACCTCATTGGTTAAATTGAGCCCTGCAAGCTCTAAGCCTGAGAGGGACTTACCCGTGCGCCACCCTTCATCTTCCCCTCCATGTAAGGGGGTCAGGGTCACGGCAGCAGCAGTGGGGCCTCCTGGCCTGGCCAGATGGGCTTCTTTAGGCCCCATGAGCTCAGTGCCGGGGAACAGTCAGGCTTGGAGAAGGAGCAGGGGCTAGGGCCCAGGAGGGAGCAGCTTCAGCACTTAGGGAGAGACTGATGGGTCTATTTTCCAAGCTAGAGCACCTCCCGCCTCTGGGGAGAGGAGCTCTGTGGGGGAGAGCTGTTGGCAGATCATTATTTAACTCTGTAAAGCTGAGCTGTGGGCAGCCCAGTGAGGTGCGGCTGATAGCAGAATAGCCAAGTGTTGGGACCTAGCAGTGTGGCCAGCGTGGCAGGCGGCTGCCCACCATGCCAGGGTGCAGGGACCTGTGTCTCTGTGTAGCCGTGTTTAGTAGGCTTGACTGTGGCCCCAGAGAGGGCAGCCTTTCAGAGGTGACTGCTGCCCCCTGAAGAGGTGGGCTGGCAGGTGATGGGGGCGACGCTGGCTCCTGCCTGCGTGACAGCCACGCTCCGCCCTGAGCCTGGAAAGATATGCTGTTCCCTCCTCCTCCACAGCCCTCAGGACCCCTACCCTCTCTCCCCAGGAATGCTTCTCCCATGTCAGGTCCCCAGAGGGGCACCTGAACCCCTTAACGGGCATCTCCCTGACCACGGATGCCCTCCTTCCTGCCCTTGCTCCTAGTGATGCAACCGTTCTCCTGAGCCTCTTGGGGCACTGAGCCTGTCGGAAAGACCACGCCCATCAGTGGGAGTGGGAACGAGAGTGCCCACCCAGGGTGGCCAAGGTGGGCCTGGAGGAGACATGTTACAGAGTGACAAACCTGCAGATGGGGGCACTGGGACTGGGGTGGTGAGTCACCTTCTCAAGCTTTCTGGGCACTCAGTTCCCTCTCCCCAAGGAGTGCACCGAGAAAGGGCTCCCCCTCACCTTTGTCCTGTCGCACAGGCTTGTGTCTATACCCAGCTGTAGTGGCTGGCGTTTCTCCAGCACCTCCCTCACCGAGCACTGTGCTCACACCATGCCCACAGCCTGCCTGTGATCAGCCCCACCATTCCCAGGCATGGGCGATGAGTGAGGCCTGGCAGCTTCATTTGCAGTGAGGAGACTGAGGTGGGTGCTACCCTCCTGAGGTTCACACAGCCCCTTTCCACCCACCCGTGGCCTCTCTGACAAGTGTCTCCACCCACCGGCCTAGTTGCTGGTCTATGGGTAGCCTGATGGGCTGGTGACTTCTTCTGCCCAATATGAGTATCTAGCCTGCCAGATACTTGCATGCACGCCAGGTAAGCAGCATCTGGTGATGCTCCCACGCCCGCTGACTCCATTCTCCCCCATAAGGACCACACCTAGTATTCTGTCCAGACAGCGACATCTTCAGGGGAGCAGAGAACTTCATAAACTCAGCAAGCTCCCTGCTGTCAGGTGGATTCCAACCAATGAGCAGCCCAGACAGCAGAGTGGGACTGCCCCTGCGAGTGTCCAAGGCTGTAACTCTTTATGGGTACACAGAGCCTCATCTCTCTACTTCTGAGTGGCTAGTGGTCTTGAACAGCTGACCTTGTGGTTAGCAGCCTAACTCCTAAGCCACTACAACACCAAGGCTCCTTGACAGCCTCCTCACTGCCATCAAGTTGATGCGGGCTCATAGAAACCCAGGGGGACAGGATAGAATTGCCCCTGCGAGTTTCTGAGCCTGTTACTCTTTACAGGAGAAGACAGACTGTCTTTCTCCCTCCGGGAGGCTGCTGCCTTCAAACTGCTGACTTTGCAGTTAAGCAGCCTAAGCATAACCTCTGTGTCCCCAGGGCTGCTCCTGACAGCCTCATAGAACCCTTAAACCATAGGTCCTTTGTGTTAAGCCAGAGCCTGGGAGACTCCTTTGCACCCAGTTCCATCCGCACCTCCCAGGTGCCCCGGCTCTCCCTTCCTCATCTTCAGCTCGTGTGCCGGGCTCGTGCAGTGTGCACACTGTTGTGTCTGGTCCTCTGCTTTCTACCGTGCTTGTGAGATTCGCCCTCACGGCATCGTCGACAGCTGTGATGACTTCCCCTTCCGTAGCTGGGCGGTGTCCAGTTGTGCGAACAGATGTCTCTGTTCTTCTGTTAGGGACAGACGGTCTGAGACCAGGGATGGTCAGCTCAGGACTCTGATGAACAAAGCTGATGTGCAGGCATTGGTCCCATGGCGTCCACACTCACTGCCGCCACATTGATCCCGGCCCTCTGTGACCCTATGGGATGGAGTAAGACGGCACCTCTGGGTCGCCGTGGCTGCAGATCTTTGTGGGTGGAGAAAGCCTCATCTTTCTCTCTCAGAGGGGCTGGTGGGTTCAAACTGCTCACCCTGCGGCTTTGAAGTCCATCGAGCCACCACGCTCCCATCCCCTACCAGGGCTCCTACGTATGTCAGTGCTGCCTTTGTGGTGTCTGTGCCCTGGTGGGCTAAACGGTGATTTCACCAACAGCCTTTTGTAGCTGGGTCCCAGGGACTTTCCTCCTCCAGCGCAGTGACTCTCGGAAGGCTGGTCAGAGGACGGGGCGGCTGGTTTTGCTCTGCCTCTCCCTCAGAGTCTCACTTGGGCTCACGTTTTCTCTCCTTGCTCCCCTGCCGTCTCCATGGACACCCTAGGGTGAGCTCCACAAGGACTGTGCTGCTGTGACAGAGGGTGAGGCCCAGCTCAACAGCCCAGGCAAACCAGCTGGCTACCGAGGTGCCCAGCAACCACTGGACAATGGGACCGACTGCGGCTGGGCGCCATTCGGTGAGTTCCCGTGAGCCACCTGGTGTTGGGTCAGCCTTGAGCCAGGTGAGCAGGGCACTCGCTCATCTTAGCAGCCTCTGCCCCATCATGACGTGTAGTGTGTTTCCCGTGATGACTCCCCATCACATCAGATATCCATCAGTACTGCGATTCAGACAGTGGGCAGCCGGGTGCAGTGAGTGGCCTTGCCACCTGTAACAAAATCCTCTGAGAGGGTAGTTTGCCATGGACAATTCGCATTTTCTCCCAGTCAGGTTTGGAAGTTCAGACTCGGAGCACAGATCTGTGGGCAGAAAGTGGGGTGAGAACTGAGGGCCGCAGAGCAGGGTGTGGAAGCAAATGAACCCCGGGCCGATAGCATCTCCATCGTGCCTGCTTGGTGATTACTTGACATTGTGGTGACTTGATTATCCAGAATGTCTAGCCATGGAGCTTCATGGATGCCCTGTTGCCCTGTTTGGGTTTCCCCACGGTGCTCTGCACCCACTCCCTGTCCCGGCCAGGCTCAGGAGCGGATGCCTGTGTTTGATCCAGAACCAAAACTGCTGTCTAGGGAAGGCTGGATAAGGATGCACGTTTCCTGTTTCTTTTTAAATCCACGCAGACAAGGACAATTACCAGCAGCTGCTCGGGGCCTTGGACTACTCCTTCCTGTGCGCATATGCCGTCGGCATGTACCTAAGGTGGGTGCCTGCAGCTTCCCAAGGCCCTTGACGATGTCATCCATCCAATGTAGGAACTATTGTAGGTGAATGATGCCAGGAATCAGGGAGCCCTGGTGGCATAGTGAGTGGGTTACTCATTGGACTGCTCATCTCAAGGTCAGCAGTTCGAAACCACCAGCTGCTCCTAGGGAGAAAGATGAGGCATCTACTCCATGAAGAGTTACAGCCTTGGAAACGCACAGGGGCAGTTCCACTCCGCCCCCTAGAGGCGCTATGAGTTGGAATCAGCTCGGTGGCAGTGAGTTGGGGTTTGGGTGCTTCGACTCCTGCTTAGCCACGCTGAGTCTCACTTAGCCTGTGGTGGGTGGAAGAGGTCAGAGGCATTGCTTGTCCATGAATGACACACAGGACATCCTGTCATCACAGAAATGATCCCACCCGGAGTGTCAATATGCCAAGGTTGAGAAATGATGACTAAAGTAAATAAAGTTATTTTATTGTTGCTTTTTATTGGCAAAGATCATTTTTCCTGCAGTTTGTCCATGGCCGTAAAAACAAACTGCTGTCTAATGTGAAACTTTATCAATAGACACATGACCAGAACAAGAGCACAGGTACAGCTAGGAACCCTGGTGACCTCGTGGGTTAAGCACTGGGCTGCTAACCCAAACGTCAGAGGTTCCAATCTACCAGCTACCCTTTGGGAGAAAGGTGAGGCTGTCAACTCCCATAAAGATTTACAGCTTTGGAGCCCTGTGGGCAGTTCTGCTCTGCCCGGTACAGTCCCTGTGAGTCAGAATCAACTCCATGACAGTGGGGGTTTCTCTTAGGGGTAGCATTATTTCGTTTGGTAAATTCAGAAGGAAAAGTTCTGTGGATGCCTTAGCTGGAAGCCCAGAATGTTGGAGAGAATTCCAGAAGTGTTGCTCCTGGCCATGTGGGGATCCCGGTACAGCATGCTTTGTCTTGATCTGGGTCCTAGAATTAACAAGAAGGACAGAAGGAGATGCCCACAGAGTTTTAAGTGACTCCAAAATGCTAGGAAATGTTTTAGGAATGTTGATGGCAACATATGTACAACTGTGGTTAATACAATCGAATGATGGATTGTTAAATATTTGTAAGAGCCCCCCCCAATAAAATGATTAATTAACATAATTATTTGATTAAATTTTAAAAGCCCGTGAACTGTATGCTCCACTAGGAAACTAGAGACTTCCCACCCTTCCCTGCTCCACCATCACCATGTGACTGAGTCCTTACTGTGCACCGGGCACTGTGGTGCTGTGGCCATGCTTGGACTGCTAGCCATAATCAGGTCAGCAGTCCAGGACTCTCTCTGCCCATAACAAGTGACAGTCTCAGAAGCCAACGGGGCAGTTCTACCCTGTCCTGCAGGGTCACTTATGAGTTGGCATCGACTGGATGTCAGTGAATCCTGAGTTTCTCATTTGTTCCCCAAATAACGTTATGAGGCAAAACTCTCAAGGGGTTCACTTGAGTCATGTTGTTGAGAAAAACCTTAGAGAGTCTTCTACCCCTGGGTTTCAACCCCTACCCTGAAGAGACACTCCTGTGTCTGAAACAGAAGTGGTTGTGGCCAAGACGGTGGTATTCGGCCCTCCGCCAAGCCGATCCTGAGAGGTGCTTCAGTGTAGATGCCCCCAGGACTGCCCACCGGGGCAGGAGAATGTGCTCGAGGCCATTAGTCACCAGGGTGTTTGTCTGTTGGTTGGTGGTTGACGTTTGGAAAGACAGACCCTCGCAAGATGGTGTGTGTGGGACAGCAGGATCAACGAGCAGGCCGAGGTCTTGCTTCTCTGATTGGCAGCATCGTCAGTCAGTCATGTTTGAGTTTTATGATCTGGAAGCGAGTGACTCTCCCTGGAAACAGATCTCCTCAGGGTTAGCCACTTGCCAGGTGGTGGTGACTACGTGCTCAGTGGGCAAACAGTGGTAGCTTGAGTCTTCCTGGACACGCTTACGCTCATGAGCTTTCAGGGCCCCAAGGGCAGCCTGCAAGCTTCCTGAGGCTGCGGCAGGTCATCAACGTGGAAGGGGGGCTTTCTCACGCTTGTCTTCCCTTCTCTCCGTCCCAGTGGCATCATAGGGGAGCGCCTGCCAATCAGGTATTACCTGACCTTCGGGATGCTCGCCAGTGGGGCCTTCACCGCCTTGTTCGGGTTGGGCTATTTCTACAACATTCACAGTTTGGGATTCTACGTGGTCACTCAGGTAAGGGTTTGGGGTCCATGGTTCACCAGGGGTGGGGTCCCATGATGAGTAGGAACAGGGCACTACTCACATGTAACCCCGCTTCTGCCAAGAGAAACTGGGGTGGGGACGGCCATGTCCTGTCGGAAGTGGGGGTCCATGCTGGCAGGCACAGTCCAGCATATGCCTATGACGTGTCCCCTAGCTTCAGGTGTTACTTCCCCAAGAAACCTGTTTGTCAGTGCTAGGCCTCTCGGGGAGACACACACACACACACACACACACACACACACGCACGCGGCCCCCACTGAACCACAAAGGGAGGTGAAGAAGAAGCCTTTATTCACCTTCTGTTTGGGTTGGGGTGAGTTTGAGATGCTCTCCCGTGTGGCAGGGGCAGGAGGGCTGTGGGCTTCAGGGAGGGTCGGGGGAAGGGATGACTGGAGCCCTTGGGTCAGTGGAGAGGGAAGGAGCTGGCCTCCTGACACACAGGGGGTGCAGGCCTGTGAGTATCTTCGGGGAGTGTCCTACACTTGAGAGCCACAGTCAAGAGACAAGCTTGTGGGACACACTGCCGCCCCATTTGCAGAAGCGCCTCTGCGGGTGACTTCCGATCCCAGTTTGTTCCCATCTCACCCCCTTTGCAGATCATCAATGGCCTGGTGCAGACCACCGGCTGGCCCAGCGTGGTCACCTGCCTCGGCAACTGGTTTGGGAAAGGAAGGTGAGAAAAAGCCCCCGCCCCCCCTGGTATTCCCACAGCAGTGACTGCGGCAGACAACTTGATTGTAGGATGTCCTTTGGGCCACTTTTAGGTCATTTTCTACATTTAGAATAAAATTCTTGGCTCTTGAATTCAGATGGTCCTTTGGCCTGGGAGGGAGGCAGTAGAGCCTCACCCTCAGCATTGTGGGAAGGGGAGGTCCATGCCGCTTACAGAGAGCTCCGTGGGGCAGAGCCCACCCTGGGAGCTCCCAAGAAGCAGAGTCTTGGCCCAGCCCCAGCCCTTTTAAAGCAGTCTGCGTTTGAACAAGACTCCCCGGGAATTCATGTGTTTGGGAAGACCTTACTGGGTCACCCAAGGAACTCACGTGTTTGGGAAATCCTTAACCGGGTCACCCAAGAAACTCACTTGTTTGGGAAGTCCTTAACCGGGTCACCCAAGAAACTCACTTGTTTGGGAAGTCCTTAACCGGGTCACCCAAGGAACTCACGTGTTTGGGAAGTCCTTAACCGGGTCACCCAAGGAACTCACGTGTTTGGGAAGTCCTTAACCCGGTCACCCAAGGAACTCACGTGTTTGGGAAGTCCTTAACCAGGTCACCCAGGGAACTTGTGTTTGGGAAGACCTTAACCAGGTCACCCAGGGAACTCGTGTTTGGGAAGACCTTACTGGGTCACCCAGCACATACATGGCAGAGCTGGGACTCTGCATCTAGTCACTGGATAGCCAGCCTGTGTTCAGTCATAAATGTGTGAACAAGTGGACAGAGCTCGCTCCAGCCATCAGGCCAAAGGTTGAGTAATGGGCAGGGTGGTAGACAGGTGAGGGAACAAACCCATGGAATCTGATTTAGGTAGTCCACCCACTGCCGTGTTCTCAGGAACTTGTGCTAATAGGACATTTAGGACGAGGCCTTCTTTTGAATGAAGCAGTTGTTGCTTGGCACCAAGGAGGCCCAGTGGCGCTGTGGGTTAGGTCTTGAGCAGCCAACCACAACCAGCTGTAGTTAGCCTGGGCAGACTAGAGAAAGAAATCCATAGACACTCATGTGTATAAGAAAGCGCTTTATATACAAGAGCAGTTGAATATTGAAAAACCATCCTAGCCCAGTCCAGACTGAGTCCCGAAGTTCAATATTAGCCCATATGTCTGATACCAATCTATGAAGTCCTCTTCAGACTCACGAAACACATGCAATGACCCCAAATGCAGGGAGATCACAGGCCAGTGGGTGGGAAGTCTTGTGGATCCAGTGACGTTGTAAGCATCTCAGTGCTGGCAGTGGTCTCCATGTGGCTTCTCCAGCTCCAGAGGTCTGGCTCCATCAGCCTCTCGCCATGTGTCTTCTCTGCAGGGAATGAGCAGCGAGAGATAGTCTCCCATCGCCAATGAGGAATACAGGAATTCCCAGAATCTTCAGAAGGCCATGCCCACACAGAGGCCTCATTGGCTATATCCTGATTGACAGGATAGACTCCCCCTACACTCTTAATCCTCAAATTGACACCACATTATGTACCTACCACATTAGCCTTGTTGCTTTTGTTTATTTGTTTGTTTCATTGTAGAATAAGACTGAGTTCTGAGAGGGAAATGAGAATGTGTGACTATAAATCCCAAGGCAAAATAAAAAGCCCTCCTCTTGTAAGTCCCCATGGTCCTGCATCCCATCCCGTATTTGCCTGTGCCCGCACTGACCTCCCTGGGCAGTCACCACGTGCCTCAGGGCACTGACTCGCCCCAGTTTCTCCATGACATCGCCATCCTGTTTTCTGGTGTGTTGCAGGCGAGGTCTGATTATGGGCGTCTGGAATTCCCACACCTCCGTGGGCAACATTTTGGGGTCCTTGATTGCTGGCTACTGGGTGTCCACCTGTTGGGGCCTGTCCTTCATCGTACCTGGGGCTATTGTGGCGGCCATGGGGATAGTGTGCTTTCTCTTCCTCATCGAACGTAAGTACACGCGAGTGGCCTGGAAGAGACCGGTCGGAAGATGCAGTTAGCGTCTGCCCCGGGAGGGCTGTGGGGACTGGCTTGTCTTGGGTGGGTGGCCGTGTCAAGCTCTGCTTGCCTGTGGTTGGTTACTGGGCCTCTACTCTCGACACAGAGACGATTCTCACCCCCCACCCCCACCCCAGCTTTATTAGCGTGTCATTCACATACCGTACAGCTCTGGTTCAGTCACGTCAAGAAAAGCTGCACCCTCGTCGTCACAATTCGTTTCTTATATGTTCTTTGTGCTTGTACTCAGTGTTATTAGCTCCCCATTTCCCCCAGCCATGCCCTGGCACCCCTAAGGAACCATGCATCCAGTTCCTGTCTCTGTAGATTTGCCTCTCCCGCATTCCGTCTACAGAAAACATTCAGACCAAACCAATGAAGTTAACAAGAACAACAAAGTAAAACAGATAGAAAGCTCCATGGAAAAGCGAGCAGAAGATATTGAAAACGAGAACACATTTCAGCGGATCCTAAGGGAGATCAAATGATAGGGTGCTGAGTTTTAACCTCGCCGCCCCTGCCACAGTCCACCTTCCCGCGCGCTCTGCATAGCAGCGAGGCTGTGTGCATGCCTGGTCCAGACTCACGGGCTTCTTTGTTCAGGGATAGCCACTACTCAGCAGTCTCCTTGGAGGCAGTGCTGACGCTCGGTGACCCTGCGTGGTGGCTGGAGCAGAGCTGCTCCTTAGCATTTTCAAGGTTGCGACCTTCAGGACGCAAATCACCAGGCCTTTCCCCCAAGGTGAGAATCTAGAGGGTTCACACAGCCCATCTTTTGATTAGAGCCTACACTTAGCCATTTAGGCTCCCTAAGCATCCCTTGTTTAGGTCCAGCCCATCACTGGGGAGTCATTTCTGATAGATGGCACCCCCTGCCCTGTGGAAGAGAACTGCCCCGTCGGGGTTCATGGCTGCAGGCTCCGTGAAAGCCAGCCACCAGGCCTTTCTGCTGTGGATCTGATGGGTGGCTTTCAACAAGCAACCTATAGGCGAGTAGCCAATCACAAACCACTGGCCGCCCAAAGGGACCAAAAAAGAGGCATTGAGTCCATGCTGACACATAGCGACCCTATAGGACAGAGTAGAACTGCCCCCGTGAGCTTCTGAGACTGTCACGCTTCATGGGAGCATAGAAAGCCCCACTTTCTTCCCTGGAGCGGCTGATGGTTTTGAGCTACCCAGCTTGTGGTTAGCCGCCCAATGCATAGCCCACGACGGCTTTCCCAAGCCCCAAGTTCAATCTCCTGAATTCCGCAGTAACAGATGTCAAGATTTCCTCTGCACTGCCCCCCGTCCACAGCTCTCTGCCTCCGCTCTGTCCTCCGGGTCAGGACGGCATGGGTTTCCTCTTGTTTGGGAGGCCTAGCTCCACTCCACCGGGGGCTGCGTCTGCTCTACAGTCTTGCTGCCCCAAGCTGAAGAGCCTGTGGCCAGTTTGTGTGCTCTCTGGCTAACATGGTAAAAGCAGACCATGACTGAAGCCAGACCTTCCGTCCTAACTAGGTCCTGAGTGTTCTTCCAGAGGATAAAAGTCCTTGTCCCATCCCAGGCTTCATACCTGGTCTCTTAACTTCACGGTCTGTGGAAGTAATATTTAGAAGTGGAAAGCCGGGAGCAGCTGCTGCTTTGGCCGCGATACGTCAGGGTGTGAATTCCACCCTCGCAGGCTGATGCGTGCTTTGATTTAGCATCGAGTTCCATCTCATTACCTGGTACTAGACAGCGCCCTGCCACTGTTCTCAGGGGGGCATTCCACAGTCAAAGGCTCTGGCCTTCATGTTAGCGTCACCTTTGACTTCTGCACTGCCAAGCGCCTCGTCCAAGAGATAAGCACTTTATTCTGTTCTATTTAACTTCCTGCTTCTGTTTTTCCTTCTGCTGGAGTTAACTTGTTCTTGTTACAGTAAACCCCATACAGCTCTGAGGCTATGGGGCTCCCGGGCCAGTCTTTGCTGTGTGTGAGGGGGAAAGTAGGTGGTCAGGTGTGGGGTTGCAGACCACCGCTGTGGATGGAACCACAGGGGCCTCCCAGGTGTTTTCTCAAGAGGCTGAGCAAACTTCTGGCCAAGTGGTCAAGCAGGCGGCTCACGGGCCAGGTGGGAGGTGTGTGGCTACCTGACCAGCCTGCCATACAAAGGCATTTCAGTCCAATAGGGTGTCCCCACATTCAGGGAGAGTGTTTCGTTCATGTCTGTCACCTAGCCCCAGGAGTCCTATCTGCCCTGCCATCCTTAGAGATTGTGCCCTGGGCTTTAGTGCCCTGTCAGAGGCCCTGTGTGCACACTGCCCATGTGTAGACAGGCCGGCTCCTGTCTAATCGCTTCCTCGGCTGGAACAGGCTTGGCTCTGGAAAGAGGGGTGTGATGGAGAACAGATGGTGGACTTGTTTGCTGGTAGGGGTCTTTGGGGCCCAGCGTGCGTTCAGCTGAGGTATCCTGGGGGCATGGTCCCTGTTCGGTGCAGGGTGTTGGGCAGGGGCAGTGAAGCTCCTGTTTGCTCTTCAGACCCAAGTGAGAGATGCCTTCCTGGGACCCCCCAATGTGGTACCTTGAGTGGGGGGAGGGGCAATGCTGAGGGGGTCACACAGCACCAGACTCCATGACCTGCCTGCCTGCTGCCCCGCCCGCGTGCTTCCTCCATCACGGGGAGGGCTGATGCCCCCTTGCTCTTGTGGCCTGGAGTGCTGATGTTTTCCCCCCAGCCCGCTCTGAAGAAGCCCCAGTGGGTGCGTTGGGCTGCTTCCCCAAGGTGGGAAGTTCAAACCCACTAGCTGCTTCTTAGGAGAAAGATGAAGACATCAGCTCTCATAAGGACATACAGTCTCTGAAACCGGGCACGACAGGGTTGCTGTGAGTCAGGATCGACTCCATTGAGGACAGTGGGGTTTGGGGCCCACTTTGGGACAGAAATGAAATAGCTCGGTTTCTCGCAGCAAGCCAGGCCTTCCGTAAAGCCAAGAGGGCCATGTGTCTGAGGGGTTTGGGACAGCATTTCTAGAAGTGATTGGAGCTCTGAGACCCCTTCTTGGCTCTAGTGGTACAGGCAGCAAGCTGGTGCCTGTGATCAAGGGTAAGGGTCACTGGGAACCGAAGGCCAGCCCACCGGTGTGAGGGAAACCCGCCCCTCCTCTGTGCTCATCACGTCTGCAGTCTGGTGGGTTTCCCGGCACAGTGTGCCCCTTCAGCCATTATGTGTCAGGGTCTTGTATAAGATCCTCAGGTTGGTGTATCTTTCCTGTTCTTCCAAGTAGCACCAAAACTTCCTCTGTCAGTGTTCCTCTGGGGCGCAGTGAGTCCCGTAACATGGCCCTTCCAGTCAGAATCTTTCGGATTCCCACCACATTGTTGCGTGGATTTATGCAAATAAGGTGTCTGTGGTGCAAAAAGGGGATTAGACCACCTACTAAAAATGCAAACAAGGTGCACAGAGCTCCTGTAGGGATTGTTGTCAAGTGCCGTCCAGTCCGCTCCTACTTAAAGTGGCCCTGCGTACCCGCAGTCAGAGCTGCGTTCTTGGTCCAGCGCCATCCTCACCGTGGTCAGAGTTTGAGCCCCATGTCAGCAGCCCCTGTGTCCACCCACTGTGTCCTTGAGGGTTTTCTCCTCTTTCTCAGACCTTCTCCTTGAGCAGGCATGATAGGCTTCTCCAGAGACGGGACCCTCCTGATAACCTCTCCAAAGTGTCAGCCATGTCTTGCCATCCTCTCTTCTAATGAGCCTTCTGCCGATACTTCTGCCAAAACAGATTTGGGTTTGGTTTGTTTGGCTTTTCAGAGGGGAGTGGTCTCTGGTGTGTTTCCACTCTTTGCCAGCACCCTAATTCACCTGCCCCGGTTCTTCAGTCTCCCTCATTCCTCGTCCAGCCTTTGTAGGCGTATGGAAAATGCCATAACTTGGGGCGGCCGCCGCAGTCCTCAAAGTAACATCTTCGCCTTCCAGAACGCCAAAGGAGGCCTTTGCAGCAGCTGTCCCCAGTGCAAGGCATGATCTGATGTCCCGACTGCCGCTTCCCTGTGATTGTGCATTCAAGTAAAATGGAAGCCTCGACAAGTCCCATCTTCCCTCGCGTCCCGGCGCTGTCAGTTGGCCTCGTTCTGAGGGTTTGGGTTGTCTTTGTCATGGTGTGATCCATCCTGCAGGCTGCAGCCAGGACCTTCATCAGCAAGTGCCCCAAGTCCTCTTCACTCTCAGCAAGCACGGTTGTGTCATCTGCACATCACGGGTTGTTAGTGAGTCTGCCTCCAATCCCCATGCTGCTGTGTGCTTTCCGTGTAGGTTAGCTTCTCGGATTATTTGCTTTGAGCATATGGATTAACTATGGAGGAAGGATACAACACTTCTCCTGGTTTTAAACCACGCAGTATCCCTTTGACCAACTGCTTCTTGAGCTATGCCTGGAATTTGTAGGAACACAATGAGGTGTTGTAGAATTCTCATTCTTTCCCATGTTACCCATCATGGGTTATGATCTGCACAATTGAATATTTTTGAAGAAAGGTAAAAATATTTCTAGTATTCCCTGCTTTCAGCCAAGAATCAGTTGATGTCAGCAATAATCTCTCTCGTTTTGTGTCTTCTGAATCTGGCTAGAATGTCTGGCAGATCCCTGCTCATGTTCTGCCGCAACCATTGTGAAATTATCTTTGGCACAATTTTATTTGCATATTACTGCTATTGTCCAAGAAGTCCCGCCTTCTCTTGGATCATCTTTGGCCACGTGCACAAATACAGATCTCTCCTAGTTGATGGGCCAGGTAACTTTCTTCCACATTTCTTGACATAGACGCATTAGTTTGCTATAGTTTGACATAGCATTGCATTAGTTTGCTAAAACATCTGAAATGGTATTCTGTCAATTCCTGGAGTCGCGCGCGCACGCGCGCATGCGCGCCCACGCATGTGTGTGTGTGTGTGTGTGTGTGTGTGGTTGTGCGCGTGCACGCGTGCTCTCACTTCCTGCATTGCAACTTGAACTTCCTTCAGTTCTCTTGGCTCTTGATAGTTTGCAACCTCCTCAAATGGGTAAATGTCAACCAGTTCTTTCGGGATAGTGCCTCTGTGCATTCATTGATTTGACATTTACAGTGCTGATTACATATTCTGCACGTGGAATCCTCTAGTATTGCAACTAAGGGTTGAATTTTTCTTCCCTTCAGTTCTTTCAGCTCGAGAAATGCCCGAGCCTGCCCTCCCTTTTGGTTCTCTGACGCCAGGTGTGCGCACACTGTGGTGATGTGCTTCCCTGTGTCTTCTTGGACCTCCTTTGGACTCTTGTGTTTAGCTCTCAGTCTTTCTGTCTTTCCATTTGCTTCAACTCTTCTTCATTGAAGAGCAAGTTTCAGAGTCTTTTTCCTGACATCCGTTTTTGTCTTTCTGTCCTTTGTGCTCTTCTTTAGTGGGTAATACATCACTTGCTTCCTTCGGGTATGATATCGTGATTTCATCCCACAACTTGCGTCAATGAGTCAATCTCTTCTTGAGATGTTCTCTGAGTTCCGGTGGGATTTATTCAAAGGCATCTTTTTTTCCCATTTTTTCTTGTGTACTGTTAATTGTCTGCTTCAGCTGGAGTAGGAGGAACTGATAATGCTCTGCTGGGCATTCAGCATCTAGCCTTATACTGATGACACTGAGCTTCTCCGTGTCTCTTTGCACAGATGCTCCGTATAGACTCGACTATAAGCCGACCCGAATATCAGCGGAGGCACCTAATTTTTTTTTTATGTTTTTATTTTTTAAACATTTTATTAGGGGCTCATACAACTGTTATCGCAATCCATACACACATCAATTGTGTAAAGCGCGTTTGGAGGCACCAAATTTTACCACAAAAACTGCATTAAAAAATGTGCTGAAAGATTCGGCTTATACACAAGTCTCTACATTAACTGATTTAATTCCTGTGTATCCCATCCGATTTAAAATGGCCCATGCCAGTGTCTAGCCCTTGTGTGTAGTCACTGGGTCAGGCCCAGTTGACTAGAGAAACAAAACCATGCAGGTGGGCTCTTCTCTCCCTCCCTCTTTGTTTCCCATCCCCTGCAGACTTGGGATGAGGTAAGTCCTGAAGGCAGCTATTTTCTTGGGCTCCTGGCCACTAACTTCCCTGGAGGAAGCTCCTCCCAGCTCCCTTCTCCTTCCCTGATTTGGACCAACAGGAGTCAGGCATCTCTGCCTTCTGAGAGCAGCTTCAGAAGGCAAACCCAGAGTGTCCCAGCTCAGCTTGTGTTAGATTCTGACAAGGTCTGAGCTCTGGAAAAACACAATATTGTGGGGACTGGGTTTACTGACACCCCCAGCCTCCACCCCTCACCCCTCCAGGGCCTGGAGAACTAGGAGTCAGGGAGGCGTGGTCTCTCCTTGGTGCCATGCCTGCAGGGACGCAAGTGCCCTGCAGCACCACCTGGGTTAGCTGGCACCTACCTGTGTCCCTGTAGTGGCCTGAGGACATGGTTTGCCCAGTGAACAAGCAGGCACAGCTGCAGTGGCTGGTTTTAAAGTTCAATTAGTTCACGTGGTGCTGTGGCAGGGCAGTGGGGTACACGCTGGGCTGCTGACCAAAAGGTCAGCGGATCACCCCACCTGCTGCTCTTGGTGTGGCAGTCAGCTTCCATAAAGATTTACAGCCTGGGAAACCTGTGGGGACAGTCCCCCCGCCCCCTGCCTGACTGCACGGCTGTGAGTTAGAATTGAGTGGGCTGTGTTCCAGTGCAGTTCAATTGCTTATCTCAGGTTGTAAAAAGACGGGATGCTGGGTCCTGGGAGGGACAACATCCAACCATGTTTGAAAAGCCTGCCCTCTGGATTCTGAAGAAGCCGCTGAAGCCTGTCTCCCAGGGTCTCGGGCCTCGCGGCTTCGGAGTCTAGGTATTGGCCACAGGCCACTGGTATGCTTAAAACCGAGGTCCAAGACCGCCTAGCCCCGTGTCTCCTTCATAGCCTGCACTTAGACCGAGCACCCTTTACCCTCTGCCCCCACAGTCATCTTGTCACGAGTGCGTTTTACTTCTAAAGAATCCCATAGCCTTAAAGAATGCATTAAAAGGCTACTCGAGGGGGTGGGGCGGGGGAAACACTTGAATAGATTGTGATGATGGATAGGCAACTCTTTGATAAAGTGACCTAACCATGGAAGTGGATGATAGGTGAATTTTATATCAAGAGAACTACTAAAAAAAATTAAGTTGACCGATGGCTACCATGGGTGAAGGAGGAAGAGTTTCTACTTAGAGGGTGTTGGGTTTAGGTGAGTGGTGGAATACTACGGACGAGATAGCAATCCTGGCTGCGTAACTGACTGAGTAGCCCTGAAATATACATAGAGAAGGGGTTGAACTGGAGAATGTTTTGTTGTGGATATTTTCCCGCAGGTAGAAAATAATAATAAAAGTACACTAGTGAGTACAAGAGAGAAGGAAATGTGCACAACTTGACTGGGGCAATTCTCCTTGATAGGACTGAACTGTTGAATTGTATGATATGTGAAACCAGTGTCAATAAAACTGTCCAAAAATAACATAAAAAACCAGTGGCGTATCAAGAGGCAAGATAAATGAAAATAAATGCAAGCAGTAAAAACAACAAGCAGCACTCCGATATGTTGGCCCCGTCTTTGTATTTCCTTCGGATCCTTGGCCTTCCTGTGTTTTGTGGGATCGGAAAGAAGTTCTGCTTCTTTCTCTCTCTAGGGTGCATTGCCACATACTTTCCAGAAGTCAAAGGGAGGCTTCATAATATTGTTGGGTTGGGGGTTTTGTTTTATTTTGGAGGGGGGCTTGGTTGGTGATCTGCTGTAACCCTGGGAAGCATTGTATGTTGGTGCACAAAGGTTAAGCCTTCCCTGGTGGCTGGCTGGCAGGGTGGGCACGGTTGGTGGGCAGCTCCTAGGTGTGGAGGCTGAGTTGTTTTCCAAGGCAGGGTTCACCTCCATTGCCCCCCAACCCCACCTCAAATGGACCTGCTTTGGACCCATTGCCTCTTTCCACAAATGCTTGCTGTTTTCATAGAAGTACCAAGTGCTCTCTTGTAATTTTAGCTGTAATTGTGTCGTGCTGGTAGACGTGTGAATCATGGGACTCACCAACATCTCTGTGTTCCTGTGTTTCAGATCCGAGGGACATCAAGTGCTCTTCCATGCTGCCGACGGTAAAGACCCGCTTCCTGTCCCATGCCATCCGCCAGAACAGTGTGTCCTTGCCACATGTTCTAGTGACTGCCCGTCACCACCTTGTCCTCCACGGGCAGTCCTGTGAGCCCCACCCTCGGCACACAGGCCATCTTAGCAAAGAGCTGATAAGGACAGCAGCACCAACCAGACCCAAGGCTGCTGCACACCCCACTGGGAGCAGGTGCTGAGGGAACCAGCGCCGGCCCGCTGGCCCACCTGCTGGGGGGTTGTGGGGACACCCGGGCCCAACCTTGGGCCTGTGGCAGTGAGTGGGGAAGAGCTCACGGTTAAGTAACTTTGAAGTCTTCATTTAATTTCATTTTAACTTATTGTGAATCGGGTGGAGGCTTAGAGAGCAGATCCGTTTCCCATTGTATGCACTGGGCCGCTGCTCTAGAGCCACACGGTCCCATGGCTTATCCGGTTCTCTCCCTCTGCCCCTCCCAACCCTCTGAACCTTGTCCTCGTGTGATGCCACCCTTCTGACCTCTAATGGCCGGTGTCTCTCAGGCCTGGTTCTGTTGTTTCCCTGTGGACCTGCCTGACAACTGAGCCAGGGAGCCCAGTGTATTTCCAGCCTAAGGCCATCGTTCATCTGTCTCAGGGGTTCCCGAAAGCTTGGTCTCTGTGGTGATGCTGAGTTTTATTCCCCCGTTGTCTCCCACTCTATCCAGGGCTTGCTAATGGGGTTTTTCCCAGATCAGTGGCGAGTGGTTGCTGCTCCCTTCTGCTTCTCCTGGCCTCCGGCCAGACTCCTTGCTTCTCTTCCGCTTTGATTGTCTTCACTCCCCTTTCCTCTGGGCAGAGGTCCACAGTCCTGCCTTAGCTGACCTCTCAGGAACATGTAGGACCTCCACCCCCCACCCGCACCCTGCCTGAAAACACACACGACTCAATGCCATGAGGTCGATGCCAGTGACCCCACTGGACAGGCGGCACTGCCCCTGTGAGTTCCTGAGGCTATCATTCCTGACAGGAGTAGAGTGCCCAAGTGACAGCTGGTAGGCTCCAAGTGCTGACCACTGTGCCCCCCTCCTGGGGGGCAACTCCTTGAGTTCCTGTGGGGCTGAGCTGCCCCGGGTGCTCTGGTCCAGGTGGCCTGGGAGAGAGAAGGACTGTGCTTTATCTTGTTCTCCTCGGACAACAGCAGGAGGGCTGAAACGGGACCACGGAGACGTTGTCCACGCACGTGGGGCTCCGGCTCAATGGCCCGTGTGTGCTTCCTGCGCAAGAACTGGGCCAGGAAGGAGCTCCCCTTCCTCACTTCCTTAAAGGACACCGTGGCCTCTGTTATTTCTAAAGCTCTGTCCATCTCCAAACAGCTTTTCATGTCACAGCCTCTAAGGAGGGTCATTGTGTACTGCCAAGGTGACGTCGCCCAGGCGTGTCAGAGAACAGCTCTTCAGATAGTTGTCAGTGGCGGATACTTTGCCAGGCGGTCACCAGCCTGTTCTTCCAAGGGAGTGCTGAATGGATTCAAACCACTGACGTTCTGGTTAGCAGCCCAGTGTGTTCCCCACCAGCCGCTCTGAGTGAGAAAGGCGAGGCTCTCTGCTCCTGTTCTCCTCTGTCCAGTAGGGTCACTGTGCCCTGGAATGAACTTGATGGCAGTGGAGTCTGATTCTTCGGGAAAAGGCCCCTGAGCTGGGAAGAAAGTGATGAGCTTATTGTTTCCTGTGAACAGTCTCTCCTCGTTTCCTTGGTAGCTGTCTGGGAGGCCGGGGTCACTGGTGCAGCGAGGTTAGGCTTCACTGCGGACTGCCGACTCCAGAGGTGGTCTCATTAAGCTGTCCTTTCCCAGCATCCCAGAGGCTGTGGGAACGGCACCGACAGGTGTAGGCTCCCGAAGCAAATCCTGCACAGCGACAAGCGCACGCCTCTGGTGAGTCACACCCGAGTTCCCCCCAGGACAGCCCGGCAGGGAAACCGCATGCCTGCCCTTCTCCAGGCCCTGCTGAGACTGCCGCTGGGTGGCCGACTGTTCCCCCGGCTGAGTGACAGATTAGTGCATGGGACTATCCACACAGACAGCCACGCCCGCGGCACCAACTCCTGCTTGGGTAAAGAGCAGGCAGTCTGGCTTTGAGCCACTAACCACACAGAACAAGGAAAGGGCCGATGGCTCGTGTCCTGGGCTGGGTGTCCCTTACAACCGCTGGCCATTACTACTGTGCAGTCAGAGTGGCTGTGTGTTCTCGGCTGAGCAGGGTCTTCTTGTGTCCATCTGCACGTCATGCACTGGCTAGCCTACTTCCTGTTGGGTGGTGGTGATGGTGTAGTCGGTTAGCCCATCCGCTCTCTACCGTGGCTGCACATTGGACTCACGTGGAACATTTCAAGCACTAGTGGTGCCTGGGGCCTGCCCTGGCTGTTCGGTCATTCATGTAGGGGTTTCTCCGTGACCCCTGGGAGGTGTTCATGGTCTGCCTGTGCTGAGAACTGTGGTCCAGTCTCCTGGCCTAGGCAGCATAGCCCGTGAGGGAAAACACACACCAGAGCATATCTGTCCTTAGCTCACAGTTGCGTGTGCTCCGGTAGCTTTGTGGAGTGGCCCTTGGAAAGTATTTCGCCTTTACATGGGGGGTGGATCACCTTCATTCTGAAATGTGACCGTGCTCCTCCAAAGACTAGCTGTCCCTACAGAGGCCCGAGTCTGGACAGTGGCTTCATGGGAGGTGTCACTCGTGGAGCCCAGGAACTGTCTGCTGTCCCCTGTCACCCAGGGCTCACCGAGATACCGAATGGCAGGACAATAGCACTCTCTCTTCGTTCCGTTTGACTGCATTTCGATCTATATTTCATGGATTCTAGTAAGATTTTAATTGTCATAGAGTGAATTTGGTGACCCTAAATGTGTCAGAGGATCAAGGTGTACTCCATTCGGTTTTCAGTGTTTGTTTAGGGTTTCGGGGGGCGGGGGAGTAGATCACCAGTTGTTTCTTTCAAGGTAGATCTGGGAGGATTTGAGCCTCTGATCTTTTGGCCAACAGCTGAGAGCATTTGCTACCTGTGCCACCTAGGGACTCCCGTAGTAAGATCCAGTGAGCCCTAATCTCGTGGGAAGTCAGAAATCCAGAAGACCCTCTCTCTGTTAGTCCTTGAGCGTCAGAGTCGGTTTGTGAAGAATGGGGTTACATCATCCACGTTCCGATCTGAAACCCCACCCCGAGACCAGGACCATGCCTCTCTCTGTCAGTGAGTGCAGCAAACTCGGCTCCTTAGGAAGGTCCAGCATGTTAGGATTCACAAGATGCTGAAGTTCCTTTATTCCCTCTTTAGTAAGGCCTCTGTTCATGTCTGCCAAATGAGGGCCCTCTTAAAGCAACACCCACAACACAAAACTTGCTGTCTGTTGTCCACTCAGTTCTGACTCACGGTGGCCCAAGACCAGGGAAAGAATTTCATAGTGGCCCTTCCATGACACCCGCATGTAATTCAGCCTTCCGGGGATAACCATGGTCAGCTTAGAATTGAGCTTCCCCATCCCTAGAAATAGATGTTCTAGTTGCCTCGATCAGTGCAGATGATTTAAACATCCATGGAGGTCCTGAGGAAAATGCCCTTTTAAATGGTGTCTTATTACAAGCTTCCAAACAAAGAGATAGTGGGAAAATCCATGATCTCCCATGATCTTTTCACTTCCTGTCTCCCCAAACCTTTGGACGCCCCTCATGCTTACATGCCAAGCCTTCTCCCGTGCCTCTGAAATTTCACTGTCTTTTCACAACCTCAGCCCCGCCCCGTTTGTGGCTCTTCTTTGACATGATTTCCCACAACGGGGGTGGGATATCCATTAATCAGGGATGTATTTTCCCCTTTCCAAAATGATGTTCACCCAGTAGGTCCCAGTGGAGGAAGGATTCTGCGAGTTTGGTTAGTATTCCTAAACATACGTGAGTGAGGACAACCTGGGGACTGAAGACGGAGAGCGAGTTTGTGCACCGAGACGGTTCTGCGAGTGCCGGCCTCACTCCACCCACGTGACCACTGTCGGCCTCCTCCTCCCTGTCTCTCCCCTGCAGGACACAGAGACCCAGTGCTTGCTGCTGTCTGATGGGAGGGGCTCCGTCCATCCCAACCACTTCATCATCCTGCAAGCCGAGGGCACCACTTCCACAGGCGCCATCAGCTTCACGGGGGCCTTGAGGATCCCAGTGAGTACAGGTATCTGGGAAGCAGGCTGCCAGGTGTCCTGTGCTGGACGTTCCATGGGGGGTGCAGGGGGGAGCAGGGATCTGGCCTCTGTGGATGCTCAGTCTTAGAAAAGGAACACAGCATGCTTAGCGGGACGCTGGCCAGGCCTGACAGGCCGCTCCTTTCTGGGGGATGGTGGCAGCAGCGCTGGTTTGCCTGCCTCGTGCTATGTTGACCGATTTTTAAAAATTAGTTACCACCATGTGGAGACTGAGACATTTTATAGATAAAGCTGGCTTCCTGTCAGAGCGTCTGTACCCTGGTGGCTGTCACCCCTGCTTCCTCAGTCCTCCCTGTTGCAGCTCCCTCCTCCCCGACCTGCCCCAGGCTTGAAAGAGGGCTTGCAGGTGAGGCTCTGGGGCGAGAAGCAGCATTGAGTTCTGCTCTGTGACCAGAGGTCAGCTGGGCTCTGGTCTGTGCACTTCTGATAGCTTATGCTGGCTGTCCAACTGACCGTGTGTCACGGCACAGAGAAGCCGCATGAAGGAGTGTGTGCAGAGCTGAGGGGCAGGGCCACTTGCAGTGTCTGCAGAGGGAAAGCCCTAGGCCTTGGTGTGCACACAGGGCAAAGCTCAGCAGTGTAGTTTCGCAGAGGGTCTGAGGAGCTGGGCAGAGGGTCTTTACACTATGGTCTTCCAGCACAGTGACCCACCGTAGACGCAGGAGGGCCTAGAGCCAAGAGCAGAAGCAGGGAGAGGGGTCAGGACTGATGTAGAGGAGCCTTCATAGCACTACAGAGGAGGTGTGCAGCTGCTCACCACGAGATTGGAGCTTCAAACCCCACCGAACCCTCCTGAGGAGCAAGATGAGGCTGTCTGCTCCCACACAGACATACAGTCTCCGAAACCCTAAGGAGCAGTTCTACTCTGTCCTCTAGGATCGCCAGGAGTCAGAATGGACTTTTGATCCCATTGGGTTTGGGCTTGGGGTACACAGTGCCGGAGCGACTAAGACCAGGTAGTTAATGAGAATGCTGCATGTCTGAATACATGGCTGAGTGCACACCCCGCTTGCCCTTTCTTCCAGGGGGTGATAGAGTTCTCTCTGTGCTTGCTGTTTGCCAAGCTGGTCAGCTACACGTTCCTATTCTGGCTTCCTCTCTACATCACGAGCGTGGGTGAGTGGCTGCCATTAGAGCGTGGGTCTGGAGCTCTGGACACGTGGCAGGGACATGGACCCCTCCCCCCTGCCGTTTCCTTGGTCGTGGAAAGGACAAGGGGTGCCTGGGGAGCTGAGAGGCCTACTTGGAATCGAACAGCATAATCAGTAGAAATATATAGACAAAGAGAGGCTGCAGGTATGAGACTTGCAGAGCTGTAATACTGGCCTTCGTGGGCTGAAGGGTATGCAGTGTCCATCCTGGCTCTGGCCTCCAGGTTCACTGAGTGTGGGGATCTGCCCTGGGCATTGCTTCTTGGAGATGAGCTCTGATTTGGAAGGCTGGAAGGGGTGGTGAGGGCCAGGGAGGGCCCTGAAGCCTCTGGTCCCTGGGAGCCAGGAACACCCACCGAGAAGAAGAACCAGGCTTTGGCAAGACAAGGAGAGGGACTTGGAAGGGTAGGTGGGCATGAAGAGCGCAGGTGCACATTGAAATCGAGGTGATCTGAGAGGTGGGAGTTGAGACATAGCACGAGGACTGTCCCCCAGGGCATGCATGGTCAGAGATGAGTCTGTAGGAGGAAGGGGTGGTGAGGTGCTGAGTTGAGAGTAACTGCCAGGCAGACAAACAGAAGGCTCCATGGACTCAGCTCAGGGAGGTTCTGCATCCCCACCCCACCCACACCCCAGCCCTAGTTCCAGCAAGAGAGCCTCCTGGGAGCTGCCCTCACTTGTCGCCCTGCTGGGTGCCTGCCCCCCTCTGCAAGTCCAGCCTGGGGGATTGCTTGAGGAAAGGCAGTTCCCAAGTGGCTCATCCAGAGCCCCAGGAGAGACGGGGCTCACGCCATCATTCCGAATGCACCCCACTTCTCCCTCCTGATCACTTGTCAGCTCCCACCAAGCGGGGTGGGGGGGGTCCTCCATTCCCCCACTGTGACACAGAGGAGTTCCAGCCCCCGTGGATGGTCTGCAGTGTGGGGAGCTCCCTCGGGCCGGGCCGCAGGCATTTGAGAGCTGTTGCCTAAGTATTTTCCCATCTGTTTTTGTGGGCCTTCGATCGCCATGGCTACCTTGGAGGGTCCGCAGCACCCAATGAGGGGGCTCTCGGAAGAAAGCCTTTCTGGGTGTCAGTGTTCAGGTTCCCCCTCCATGTCTGCACCCACAGCGGGTGGGCCGGTGTGAATGGGAGGTGACTCATAGTTCCCACTGGGGTTAAATCCCGTGTGTGAAGGAAATGATGTTCTATGTGGGTCCCCCGGCGGCCCTGTGGGAGGGCACCCTCACTGACCAGCCCCTGCTGCCCTCTCCTAGACCACCTTGATGCCCAGCATGCAGGGGAGCTCTCCACCCTGTTTGACGTGGGCGGCATCTTTGGTGAGTCCGTTCGCATTGGCTGTGCGCACGTTGCCAAGTGAGGGCCAGGGGCCCGGGCTCTGGATCAGGGGCCAGGACTCTGGATCAGGGGCCTGGGCTCTGGATCAGGGGCCCGGGCTCTGGATCAGGGGCCAGGGCTCTGGGTCAGGGGCCAGGACTCTGGGTCAGGGGCCCGGGCTCTGG